AGCCTAATCAAGGTCATGTGATAGATTTTAAGTGGTGTGAACAGAGATCTGTGGAAGTTGGATGTGCAATTCTACTGTTTTCATATTTGCAGTAACTCACTTTCAAATCTGTAGGCTACTTCCTCGAACAGAAACATTTTGTGGTTTCAGGCGACTGGCAATTTAGTTATTGCCTAGACTGGACAGTTTATTGAAGATAGGGATAGTCAGCTCTCCTATTCCTAATAAAATTACTCAAACAGAATTTCGTCTTTAATTTGTGTTGTGATAAACTAGCAAAGAAATTTTTGGTCACCTCAATCCACGTTTTTCACGCATAGACATTTTATGTTGTAAGGACACGTTTGTTGAAAGTGTTTGTTTCAACTTGCATGTCAGTGGTTTTAAATCAGTCCGGTCATACTTCGAAACGACTGCGTTTTAAAGGTGAGAATACTGTTCTAAATCAATCTGAGATCTAATATGAGGACGAAGTTCACTATAATGCGCGAGAACAGAATTTTTGAATAATATTTCATAACTCCATCGGTTTTGTTCAATTCTAAAGAACATGAATGTGGTTGAAACACAGAATATGCCTGATATATTCTCTTGATTGTTAAGACTGTGAGTGATCAACTGTCATTAATATGTACATCCTGAGTGAATTGCATCGACATAGGTATTGGGTCACAAGCGTTACAAAGAGGGTTGAATAGCGGCTGGCAGTAGAATGTATACTGTGAGTCCCGTCCTTTTTCAGTCTCTTGTCTACTACATCTTAAATTTGAATTTTTCAATACTGTTCACTTCAAATGACATCCTGCTATCCACCAAAGTACTGAGTCCTTCTGGTCACAGGCTTGTGTAACGGATCGAGGAGTAATACATTTGTATTGGTCGTTTGACACTTCCCACCGATATTTAGGACTGCATATTATTAGTCTGTTTGGCGGTTCCAGTGAATAGTCATTGGGCTCGAATCCTGGAGAAAATATTAGTTATGAGTTTTTTCTAATCAAATATCTTCAAGTTATTATTTTAAAAGTATTTCGCATGAAATAGAAAATAAATTCACACTGTAAATTTTCAATTTCGATTTAACGCTATTTAAAGTAAGTGAAACAGTTCTCCTACAGAGCTGGTAGTCTACTTTGTGCTCTACGAGGAGAAACATGCGAAAGTAAGTACATTTAACGCATTTATGTACCATATGTATTCAATTACTGAGCAGAAGTTCGCTGCGTGCTGCTGTGTGGATGCGAAACATGGCCGTTAAGAGTAGAGGATATTCGTAGTTTTCTGGCCTCCGATCATACGTGACTCTTAAGCATCGCTAGTGTATCCTGGGACAGCCAAGTAAGCAGTGATGTTTTTAGGAAACGAGTACTAGGTAGGGATAGCAGATCAATTGATGAAGTAGTAAAACTCCATCAGTTGAGATTGTTAGGAAGTGTTATGAATGCCCGATCACCGAATGCCTCGTCGATCTAGGTTTTGTGGTGTAGTATTAGGTTGGAAGAAATCTAGCCAAATCAAAACATGTCAGAAATCTATTAAATAACTGACAAGTGGACTGAGTCATGTTGGAAGATGTAGGCTACCTGGTTGGGGCCCGCTAGATGATAGTAATCGATGGTTAGAGACCTTGAATGACATGGCTTAAAATCGTTTGTAATGGCGCAATTGCTTCCACTTGTTGTGTTCAGTCAAATCCTAAACCTCTTGATTTATCAACACCTCTATCGTTCTCTTCGTAACTTTATCTCACTGAATTATAGTTCGCAAATCAAATCTTCGCTCCCTAATCTTCTCAATTACCAGTAGTACTGTGGTGCGAGCTACTTATAAGTAGTATATGACGTGAGTGTCAACGTAATGTCTGGCAGCAGCAGATGGGGGAAGATCAAGAAAGGAAGAGTGGGAACACAATGGAATTTGTATGAAACGCATGAATAGTGACAATGGATTGATGTTTTGCAACAGGAACAGTCCAGTTCGATATGATGGATTGATATTTTGCAAATTAACTAACGATTTACGATATGGTTTTCCGATTTTACTGAGTAACTCTGTAATTTTCGTTAAATACAATTTGGTTGACCCACCTGTGTTCTCGTTCACTACAGACTTTCCTAATCTTCTAAATGAAGCTTATCGAAAGTTTTGTATTAAGGGAAGTAAGTGACTGATCAAGTGACTTTATCAACTTTCTGTCTGTTATCGATGAAGGAGAGGTGACGTCATAATACTATTGGGTTATACGGATCAACGACTGGTACTCTAACATGTTTTGTTGTCTCCCAACTCTGTCGATTAGCCGACTCTACCGAGACGTCCAGTAAACGAGCACTGATTAATATTATTATTATTATTGTCAGTAATCAACCATGAATACAAACAGAAGCATCAAATGAACAAAAGAGAAATCACTTGGGAAAAAATAAAACTGATCAAATCAATAAAGATTATCGAGAAATAGGATTTGAAAAAAAAAATCAATTACGCAGTCGCAGAAAATGATTACAGCATCAGAATAAATGAATTGCATAAAATTATACTACTCATAATGTTAGTAGTAGTAGTAGTTCAACAGGATAATCATAAAAATAATATTGATAATCATGGTGAACATTGTTAAACAATGAATGAAGAAAGGCGATAAGAACTCTTTACATATGGCGCAAGACTAAAATACATATATATGTATCAGTATGTTTATTTCTGTCATCTGAATAATTAATAGAAGTCGGATAGATTACAGGAATCAATCATTATCGTTTGCCAGTATTCTTTCAACATTTTTTGGCAACCTCTTCACCTTCACCAGTGGTGGTGATACACTGATGATGAGAGTGGCATAAACGAAGAAGATTTTATCGAGGAGAACAATTAGGGTTGAAATCAGTGGAAGGGTCCAGACGATAATGGCGATGATGATGATGGAGAGGAGGAGGAGGAGGATGAAGGATTTGCTTCTAAAATGAGACAGAAGTATGTGGTAATTAACACAAAATCTATGCACATTTCAATCATCAGTCAAAAACAACAATAACAACGTTGAACTACGTACGTACATGCATCATTTCATATTGCCATACCAAATTAGCACGCATAGATTCAATTTTCAATTCAAATCCAATAGTAGTAGAGGTAGTTAGTAAATGCATTAGCAGTATTCGGAGAGATTGGGGTTTGCGGACACTATTTCAGAAATGTGAATCTAATGAAATAAACTTAAAAATAAAAAGATAAAGGTGATGAGGAACTCTGAAGGTTAGGATTTGATAGAACACAAAAAATGGATGCCCCTATGTCAATGCGAACGGTTTTGAGCTATCTCATTCACGGTCTCTAACCATCGATTATTATCATCTCGCGGGCACCAACCAAGTGGCCTACATCTTCCAACATGACTTAGTCCACTTGTCGGTGACGTCATGGATTTCTGCCATGTTTTAGTTTGGCCGCCCCTAGCTCTCTTCCAACCTATTCCTTCACCACAAAACATAGCTCGACGAGGTAGTCGGTGGTTGAGCATTCGCAACACATGTCCCAACAATCTCAACTGACGAAAATTCAACACTTCATCAATTGACCTGCTATCCTTACCTAGTAACCGTTTCCTAACAACAGCAATGTTTCCTAGACACCTTTGATCTAAAAGCAGCAACCTACGAATATCTCCTACTTTGACTGACCATGTTTCGCAGCCATGCGGTAGGACGGAGCGAACTACAACGCAGTACACCCGTCAACAAACGGATATCTCGCCTACGCCATAGGTGACACCACTAAACATCGACGTACATAAGAGATGATAAAAATCATCTTAAAACAATCAAGTCAATTTATATATACATTAAAACGACTTTACTTTAATTTATTTGTACGATAACTTATGTCTAATTTATGCCTGGAATATTGCTTTGTATAAATTAGTCAGATTGCTTGAAGCGCTAATTCAATCGACCACTAATCTCTTTCCATCGAGTGTTTATCAACTGATTATTCTTTTCGTTGAAGAAACCATAGATATATGCCATTATTTCACTCGAGTACTCTTCATTGTGAGTATGAGAGATTCGGTGCCTTGAACATATAGTGAGACTCTCGGGTACATGACTAAATTACAAGGCAACTCTTCATTTGCAATCCTCAAGTGCAAAAGGAGAAGAGGTATATGGACCAAGGAATAAATCGCGTTCTCTGAGGACTATAAGTAGAAGACTTCGAAAGAATGAATAGCGATTGGATGAAAGTGGAAAAGAAAACTTAGGAGAAAGTTGGTCAGAGAATAATGATCCGCTGCCTATGTTGCATTAGGCGTTACAGGCGTAAGTAATTCGGTAAGTTAGATATCACTGTTAGGACATCATTCAAAACCTGGAAGCACTGGACGACTGTTTGGTCCTAGCATAGGACTCATCAGTAGCAGAATGTATCCATGACCACCAGCAAGCGGGAATCGCATCCAGTATGATAGACTACCAACAACAATGGTAAAAACACTAATCTTCATAACTCTAATTGAAAATATCGTAAAATGTGCTCACTAGTGACTAGCTTCTTGAAGGGAATTCTCGGAGTTCTAGTTGAGAAGACGCGACCAGCTGTAGGCAGTAACTACAAAAGACAAATGGGTGAGGCCGCGCAAAATCCCTAAATCAGTCAAAATTAGACATTAACATCACTGGATGCGGGCTCATTCGTCCAATGGTTAGGCGTTGGATCACAATACCAAAGATCTCGGGTTCGTATCCTGCCAGGTGCATGAGTCAGTGATGCGCTCTGCCACTGATGAGTCCCATACCAGGACGAAATGGCCGCCTTTCAGTGCTTCCATGTTTCTAATGGTGGTCTAACAATCACTGATTGATTGATGATTTCAAATGTGCAAAAAAGATCACTCATCTCCATAACTCTAATTGAAAAAAAACTATTCAACAACATAAAAACACATCGTGAAAACAATCTCACTTGATCAGTAGTATTCATCTGACACTGACGCATATTGACAATCATTTTTGAATAGATTGAATTTCCGATAAAGGCATTCGTTTATTAGACTGTGGTGATGATGATGATGATGTGGATGGTGGAAACTTTTGAAAATATGAAACATTCTCAGCACACAAAACATTATTACTGTTATTATTATTATTATTACCAATATTATTATTAGTATCATTTTTGATCAGTGATTCTTCATAATAACAAGATGGATGTGATAGGAGTAAAGTTGAATCATCACTGTGCAATGAAGTACTACCAATCAATGGAATATTATCAATTAGATAATATTCATCATCGTCATCCTCATCCTCATCGTCGTCATCTTCATCATCATCACCGCCGTCGTCGTCGTTGATGTCTTTCAGTTTTTGTCGGTGGTGGTGTTCTTCTTCTTCTCCTCCTTCTTGTTCTACCGCTAAACGTCGATGACGATTCTGTTTGGAATTAAAATAATAATTATCTGAATTGAGCAATGATGATGAGGTTGGTAGCATTGACAATCGTATGTTACGTCGATTGGAATGATACTGTGGATGTGCTGATTGTGAAAAAGGATACAGTGATGAATGCTTTTGTGAATGATGCGTGATGTACTGTGGTTGTTGATGATAATCGAATCGATGTAAACTATTACTACTAATACTACTAGTCATAGAGAATCGTTGATTATTCAATCGTTTGTCAAATTTTCTACATGAATTTGTATAGGGGATTTCAATCATTGAAGTTGATAATTGTTTACGTAGTGTTCGACTGAATAAAGTTTCTGATGAAGAATTTTCCGAAACCGACAACAGCAACAATAACAAGAGAGAACAATAATAATATTATTGATAATTCATTTAGGGAAAAATCATAAAAATTTATAGGAAGACGATTTCGTCCTGTTTGTGGACTCATCAATAATAATAGTAGTAGTAGTAAAATTCCATGGGGTAAGGTGAGGTGTGATATTTTAAGGTTCGACTCTTTCTTACACCTTCTTCCCTTGTGAGAAGGCAGCATCCATGCAGAGGCACGCTACTGATGCCACACTCCTTCTCTACAGTCTTCAGTACGACTTTGTCCTCAAACATTGAGTTGCTGGATTTTAGTCTCATTGATCTCCAATCGACAGGCTCAACATGGTAGAATCTACAGGAAAATGAGTTCCAGTCAATAAAGCTTTGTTGGGCTGGGTCATTACGATAGGAAAGCCCGACTATTAATAGCATTTTAACATTTCAAACACCTTATATTCTTCAATTTGAATGAAATGTTGAACGTATTATCAATGTTCAACCACCATCACCGGGAATCTGAAAGTATAATAGGCGACCGTTTTATTCATCAGCAGTGTTTCATCGACAACAGCCCACAAGTGGGAATCCATTAACCACTTATGGTTTGGATCGAGAATATTTAGCTGATGGCGTCCAGTGATATCAACGTCTAACTGAAATCAATCTGTAATGTTGCGAAACATTCACTCAGTGCCTGCAGTCGATAACTACCCCTTAATACAATAGAAATTAAACCCTGTTGTACATGTCATCTCATCAGACCGACAGTACCGGGTCCAGTTCCTACACACAGGGTCATGAATACTCACCGTTGGAGAGTCTAGCACAAAACGATCGTCTATTGCTTTCAGGTTTCGTATAGTCATCTAACATTGATTATTTCATGATTTCAATGAAATTCGGGAGTGTTTGGAGAAGAAGAGAGAAATTTCCTCGCTCTCAGATGTATCAAAACATTCGGCGGCTTTTTTTAATTTGATAAATTTACAGTTGGGAGAACCAGACACTATCCCAATCATTAACACTACAACTTGAACAATACAGTTCAATTTTGTGGCGCAACTACATTGATGCAATACATAAGAAGGTAAATCATTTCTGCAATGTTTATCCCAATGCAGTTACCAACGTAAGGCAATAAAAGATAGCCATGAAAATATGAATCACTAAAAGTCGGTTTTAACGAACTAAAGTTTCATAACCTTTCTACTGATTTAATGTTATTATCATGTTGGATACCACTTGCAGCTCTTCGTCAGTTTGATGATTGCCTATCACATTGTGTAGTCGATTACTGAACACCAGTGGATGTAGGTGTTACGCCTGCACGTAAACACGCCAACTAGATCTACTTGAACTATTACAAGTTCACGTAATCGGAAAAACGAGAGAGAGGATTGAGGGTCCGGCGACGCGGCATGCTACTCAAATCCGATTATCCCGACCCCCATGTTTAGTAAAAATAAGAAGACATGATATGAAGTAGAACCTGTATTCTAAAAGCATCCAGAAAGTACGATGTCCGAATCCAGAAGAGAATCAGGATCTCAGACTAGGGATCCGGGACCGAGTCCTGGTCCTGGTCATAAAATGTTACAGATAATGCGTATTTATACATTTTGGTCGAATAGGAAACAGCATCGAATTCTGTGGCATTGACAGTTAAGATGAGCATTAGGAAGCAACATTTGAACCGACACTGATAGTCAGGACAACCAATAAGAAAGGACATTTGAAATGACATCGACCATCCGGATGACCAATAAGAGTCAACATTCAAGTATTTGACTTTGACATAATTTTGACCAATAGAAATCGACCGATAGGATTTGACCAATAATTCTCTTAGGATATTGGATGAATATCCTAACAGTAGGCCGTCTCAGAGCTTAAACCTCCGTACGCTAGACCGAAGGTGCTTGTGTTATATAGCCTCATCAAACGGCGGTCGTGAATCCATACTGCCACTAATGAAGAGGCCTACATTAGAACACAAAAATCGTTCTTCCTCTACTTAGTGTGGGGCGTTAGGACGCTCGGATTAGAGTAGCCTACCGTGTCACTCACGACATCATTTGTCTGCGCTCTCAGTTACCAACTATAGTTAACTCGTAATAGCATTCAAGCATATCAATGGACGAGTATAACAATTTCCAGGTTTCGAATAGCGGTCTAACAATGATTTTGATCGATCCATGTATTCAGCTGCTATTCAGATTATTCACGCACAAATAATGCAGACAGAAATTCAAAATGATTCCAGAATTTTAAGAAAAAATATACCTAAACTGACTGACGATACAGGTCGTGATAAACTGAAAAATTCATCCAGTGACGTTTGTACAGTGTCTTGATTCGAAGATGATGATGTTACAACATTCTCATTGAATAATGATTGTTGAGTTTTTGTCATGAGTTGATCTGATTGTGAAATTCTGTGTTTGTTTGTTTATTTTGTTGCAGTAGAAAATAAAGAAAATTAAATTAAAATTTAATTTAAATTTAATGATAAGCTGATATTCATGGAAAAATAAAATTTCATGAATAGAGACATGTAGCGATGGATTAAACTGTAAAAGCTTGTATGAAGGATAGATAGATAGTTTAAGGATCGATTCCAAGTGAAGACCGATGTGCAGACAAGGTTCATTACATTCTCAACAGTTATAATTTATTCTCTTGGTGGTCGTCAGTCAGTCAGTCAGATGCAACGTAGAACTTCGTACGTAAGTACATCAGATGATGTTGCCATAAAACATCAGCACATAGATATAATTGTCAATTCAAATCCAATAGTAGAAGAGGTAGTAAAAGTATTAGACTGCAGCTGCTAATTTGATGTGAAGGACGGGCTTACCTATCGTCATGCCCCGAACGAGCTATATTGCCTGGAACTTATGTTCCTGAAGGTTCTACCATGTCAGGCAGGTCGATTGGAGAACGATGAGACTAAAAGCAGCTACTCAAGGTCTGAGGGCGAAGTAGTACTGCTCAGTGACTGTAGAGGGGTGTGACAGCAGTAAGGTGTTTCCCTCGGACAACCAGTATCTGCAATGATGCTGCATTCTCACAAGGAAGGAAGGAAGGGTTAGAAAAGGTCGACCCTAAAAATGTCACACCTCACCTTACCTCACGGATTTCCGTCTCCGTCGGTAAGGGTGCCCAGTAAGGGCCTTTAAGAGCGGGACTAATACTCGAAATACCTTGCGTGCGTGACCGGCCTCAAGCAGTTGTCCTCTGAGCTCTGTGGTCACGCTCCCAGGTCTCCAAGATCAACACTAATCTATCTTCCTTTTCAGGTTAATGAAGACGTCAACATCTCTGTTACTGAGACATAGATTGGATTAAAGCATGATTTGCGTTGCTGCATGCTGATTGGCTAATTTTCATCCGATCAGCGCTAGTCGATACTTGGAGAACACTCCAGACGCGTCTTATGTAAAAGGTAGAAAGATACTAATGTTGTTTCTATTCTGCTTCGTTTCTTACTTCCACTTAACCTTGCTTGCTATATGGAAAATGATCTTTTCTCTGTTCAACTGTGTTCTGATTTGGGGACGTGTCGAGTGTATTGTTTTTCAGAGAATACTAAGCATTGGAGAATAGCTGGGTTGTAATAAAGACAGAATTATTACAATCTCAGAGGAGGTATGTGATACTGTGGACACCAAGGATGCGGCTGAACTATTTGGACTGTCCCACATACAGCGACTATAGCGGCTGCTACAACGGTAGATCTTAACATACACAAGGGTAAAAGCAAGAACATCCAATACAAGATAAGATGTATCAAACAAAATCAAACTTGACAGCGACGTTTTAAAATATGTGAAATTTTTTACATAACTGGCCAGCCTCATCGATACACAAGGTGAATCTGTCGAAGATGTGAAAACATAGATCACTAAAGGAAGGGTGGCACATTCACACAAATAACGAATATATGGAGCTGAAAATTACTATCAGTCATCACCAATGTCAAGACAGTTATATTGTATCGAGCGGGAACGTGGGGAGCGACGAAAACGATCTATCACAGGATATAAATAGTTGCAAACAATTGTCTTGAGAAAAAACATCCTGGACCCGTTGACCAGACACCATCAGTAACAGTTTACTGTGGTCGAGGACAAATCCGATTTCAGCTGAGAAAGAAATTGGGAGAAAGCACTGGAGTTGTTTAAGAAACACACTGCGTATTCATGGATGGATGACCGAGCGAGCTATACCTCGGTTAGGAAGAGGGTATTAGCTAGAGAAGGCAGATCAACTGATGAAGTAGTGAGTCATCATCATGAAGTGGTGAAACTTCATCAGTTGAGGTGGTTCGGACATGTGTTGCGTATGCCTAACCACCGAATGCCTCGTCGAGCTTTGTTTTGTAGTGTAGGAATAGGTTGGAAGAAAGCTAGGGGCGGCCAGACCAAAACATGGCATAAATCCATGAAGTCATTGACGAGTGAACTTAGCCATGTCGGTAATTGTCGACTACCTGGTTGGGGTCCGCGAGATGATAATAATCGATGGCTAGAGACCTTGAATGACATGGCTCAAAATCGTTCGCAATGGCGCCAGCGCATTTATTCTTTGTGTTCTCTCAAATCCTAATCTTCTGGATTCTTCAACACCTCTAGTTTTTACTTTCTAAACTTATCTCATTGAATCATACTTCTTGAATAATATCTTCTAATTCTAACCTCTCCGATTGCTTCTAGTACCTTTACTACCTCTTCTGCTATTGGATTTTAATTGACAATTACATCTCTGTGCTGATGTGGTATGGCGACATGAACTGATGTACTTACGTACGAAGTTCTACGTTGCAACTGACTCACTGACTGACTGAGTCATCGTCAACTAAGGTAGGTTGGACATGTGTTACTTGTATTCAGTTACCGTCTACTCCGATTAGAGATGTTATTCACTAACAAATGGACTGTGTCATGTTAGTGGGTGTAGACTACGTTGTTCAACCCAATCAGTGGTCAAAAACTGAAAGATAATCGCTCATAATCGTTTAGTGTTGCAGATGCATCCATTTTTTGTGTTCAGTCAAATTCCAATCGTCTCAATTTCTCATGACTTTCCGCTTTCTTGTCTCTTTGAGTTATACTACTCAAAGCATATCTACAATCCCCCCCCCCCAATCTCTTCAGTTAAAAACATGAATACACTGATACAACACTACTTCGACTACTATGTCAGATGACATGATCAATTCATCGTCATTGTGCTAATGGCACGACAAAGTCATGATACCTACGTATCCCTGTTCAACATTGCAAACTGACTGATTCACCACTGACTGTTGGATCGAACCAGAAAACAATGAATGAATCAACCTTTAGTGCCTCCACATATATTCCAGTTCTCTTACATCTAACTTGGTTAAGCCCTTTCGATTAATTTACTTAACCAAGGCATTTGTATAGCAACAACTCATATGTACCATTGGTATTTTTTATTATCTGGTTTGTATGAGCTTATACGACTGAGCATTGCTTACGCCTACGCGCTTACTCATCCTTTTCGCTTTAATGTTAATCTCTTAATTTCCCCATAAACTCACATGATTTGTATCGCTTGCTTTTGACCTTGTCAATCATTCGTCGCTTTTATTCATGTCTGTGCATACCTATTTCGCTTGTCATGTGTCTGTCTTATTCTTATCTGGCTATATATTCTTAGTCATACTCTATCTCTTTGAGTTGGCTCAACAGCCTTCGCCAATTCGCTTCTACGCTTCGCTTTGTGGTGTGCCTCGAATAAACGTATTCATCAATACGAGTTCATGTTCTGATTTATAAACCGAGCTATAAGAACACGCAATAAATCGGCACACTACAAACCAATCAGTCAATCAATCAATAAACAGGTTCATACACTTTCAATCAATCAATCAATCAACCAATCAATCAATAAATCGATCACTTACCCAGAATATGAATATTGTGTATAATCCATGTCAGTTTGTACAGCTGCATCGCAGCATGTATCAGTAGTAGTGTTCGTTAAACAACCAATACTACTAATAATACCTTGTAACTGTTCCATAGAACACTGGATACCAATTGAAGTTTTCATTAGCTCAGGTAAATTATTATTCTCGTTTTTTTCACAAATTGGTTTGTTTGATTTGTTCGTCGTTGTCGTTGTCCTCCGCCTCCGCCTCATCATCAACATCATCATCATTAAGTGATCATTTTTTGGACAAGTTTCTTTTGTTGGCGAAGTAGTGTGTTTCATTTGTTGCTGTTGAGGCTGCTGAGGCTGATGTTGAGGCTGTTGAGGCTGCTTCTGCTGTTGATGATGATGATGTTGATTCCATTCGGTGCTGTGTGTATCACCTTGTAAATGATGATTAGTTCGCGTGGATTTATGATAATGATTTTCATAATTGTACGATAAAGCACAACAATCATCATCATTGTAGGACTGCAGCGGCAAAACAGGAAAACAATAAGTCATAACAAATCATAACTGCCTGTTACATTATTTTATGTGTGACTGATTACATCAAATGAATGAATACATCTGTCTATTCATCTAATATCTTAAGAGAATTATTTTTGTAAGTCTAATTTTATCGGTCAATTCCTATTGGTTAATTCCTATTGAAATCATCAATCAATCACTGTTAGAGCACCATTAGAAACCTGGAAGAAGCACTGAAAGACGGCCATTTCGTCCCAGTATGGGACTCCTCAGCAGTGCACATCCACGACTCCTACACCCAGCAGGATCCAAACCCGAGACCTTCGGTATTGTGCGCGAAATATCGGACCACTGGGCCGGCATCCAACGGTGTTAATGTCTAACACTGATTGATCTACGGACTTTGCGCGACCTAGTCTTTTGTAGTTACTGCCTACACCCGACAGGGTTGAACTCCATTGGATGCCGGCTCCAGTGGTCCGATAGTTAGGCGTTCGCGCACAATACCGAAGGTCCCGGGTTCGAATCCTGAGAGATGCAGGAGTCGTGGATACGCACTGCTGATGAGTCCCATACCAGGAGGAAACGGCCGTCCAGTGCTTCCAGGTTTCTAATGGTGGTCTAACAATGATTGATTGATGATTTTAAATGTGTAAAAACACAAACATCCAAAGCTCTGCCTGAAAATTATTCCTATTGGCCGTTCTAATCATCAAGGTCACATACTTCAAAACTAGAACAACATATATAAGCGAACAATATTGTTTTCGATTAGATCGTCTTCAGGCTTTACTCTAATATACATGAATATTTATATGAAAATGTCAAACTAATCAAATTACATTATCTGTAAGGTTTTATGACCCGGATCCTTAGTCCAGGATGCTTATCCTATTCTGGACTCGGACAGCGTGCTTGTAGAATACATTATTTACTTCATAACAAGTCTTCTTTCTTCTACTCATTGTGCATTTGGGACGCTCGGATTAGAGTAGCAGCCTGAAGTGTCGTCGGATCATCGATCTTCGCTCTCGTTCATCGACTAAAGTGAACTCGTAATAGTTCAAGCACATCAAATGACGTGTTTACGTGCGTTCTTAACACACATACATTTAAATCCATTCAACTTATGAGAGTGATCGTCAGCAAACCTTATGTAAAGTTAAGGATTTGCTAACATGAAGTTGTTGTTAGCAGTCGGCGAACAGATTTATCCAATGTCATATTCAGAAAATATCAGCATTAGAATTTATAAAAGGCTTCTGTTTGTGTGTTTCAATATTCAAGTCACTGAAATAATCCATTTTAAGCTGATCTTGATATGTGTACCATGCATGTCCTATACCAGGATGAAACGACCGTCTTGCGGTGCTTCCATGTTTCTTCTAATAGTGGTGGTGATCTAACATTGATTAATTCATGATTTCAATATGTAACTCAACAATTGCCACAACCTGACAGTGCAATTACCTGTCGTCATTAGTGACTAGCTGCATGAGGAATCTTCTCCGAGTCATGCCCAGTGGAGTTAACCCTGTTCGGGTGTAGACAGTAACTACCGAAGACAGTTTATGAGGTTACGCAAGACGATGAATTGACGAGAGTTACATACCGGCTCAGTAGTCCAGAGTTAAGCGTTCGCGTGCAAGACCGAATGTCCTGGGTTTGGATCCTACGAGATGCAGGAGTTTTGGATGAGCGCTGCTGATAAGTCCCATGCCAGGAAAAAAACGGTTGTCCAGTGCTTTCAGGTATCTAACGGTTGTCTAACACTGGTCGATTTATGATTTCAATGTACGGTATATGTTGAGACCACCACATGGGTCGCCGTAGAATTTGAAAACGTATTGATTACATTTTTTCTGCCCTAATTACTATTGGCACTCTCGTCGACCTTGTCGGTTATTCGTTCAGCATCTTGCGTATTCACAATGCTTACTGTGCGTATTACATGTCATGTCTCATTACATCGACTTGGCTCGCTCTTCTTCTCCGCTTCCGACTGTCCAACTCGTTGATTAATACCTCAATGAAAATATAGTTTAACAAATTCTTACATGACACAACTTAACCAATGCACCACAATGCCATTTGGTTGACATTCAATCCCACCTAGTTCACTTATTTGCAAAATAAAAAGTATATTTCTTACTATTACAAACAACAAACACTTAAATGTTCGGTCGATAGTAATGATACAGCATTACATTACATACACGCCCATACATGGGGTTGGACACAATACACTTGTAGTCTTTTGTAGATCCAACAACTTCTTCTAACTCTATTTTCCGATCCCGACCATAGCTGCTATCTTAACGTGGTGGTTGGGCTTGCCTATCGTCATGACCCACCCAAACGAGCTTTATTGGCTGAAACATATGTTCCTGAAGGTTCTACCATACCAGGCTGGTCGATTGGAGAACGATGAGACTAAAAGCAGTTACTCAAGGTCTGAGAGCGAAGTAGTACTGCTGAGTGACTGTAGAGGGGTGTGACAGCAGTAAGGTGTTTCCCTCGGACAACCAGCATCTGCAGCGATGCTGCTGCCTTCTCACAAGGAAGGAAGGTGTTAGAAAACGTCGGCCCTAAAAATGTCACACCTCACCCTACCTCACGGATTTCCGTCTCCGTCGGTAAGGGTGCCCATTAAGGGCCTTTAAGAGCGGAGCTAATACTCTAAGAACTTCTCATAGAAAGGTCGTGCGTGACCGGCCTTAAGCAGTTGTCCCTTGGACTCTGCGGTCATGCTGCCAGGTCGTTAAGACCAACACCAATCTATCTTCCTTGTCAGATGTCTCAAGAAACAACCTTCCACGGTGTGGACAGCCGGTAATCGACAACCGCCCTCATACCCGTAACAGCACATGAGCGACCAAAGTGGTCGAAATCTATTTTCCAAACAACGGCAGGACAACAGAATCCCTACAGCATAAAATATTATTATCGCCTGGAACAGGCGATCTCTCTCTCTCTCGCCTTACTTTCATTCAATTCATTTGTTCAACAACAACAAAAACAAATGTGTGTGCATCTTACCGAATGATCAATACAGTTATGATATTGTCTATTGGTTGAGCTTTGTTGTTGTAATGATGGCTTTCTCATTTGATCCACCTTATAATTGAACGTAGTATCATCATTCCATGTAGATTGGTGATGAGAATAAGCAAAACTACTGCATGATTTGGTATTTTCTTCCAAACTTAACGATAATGGCATGATTGATCGATAAGGATGTTGGGTTGAAGGGAATGTATTGGTTTTTACCAGGAGAGGTGCATTATTATTGGTTGGTTGCATTGATTGAGCGAATAATTGAGTTTGTGATGGTTGTGCTTGCTGTGGTTGTTGTATAGTGTGCCTTTTCAAATCATAATTTGGTAAAGACGAATTGAGGAAGTGTTGTTTCATTTTCAAACGATTTAAATATTGTTGTCTACGCGCGAGTAGACTAGATACACGTATAAAGTCAATTCTACCAGGTGTATGAGGATTTTGAATTGAATTCGATAATATTTGTGTTTCATGAGAAGCTGGTTTGATTGGTGAAATAGGATCAGGTCTAGAGAAAAAGGAGTAGAGAATATGAGAGGAAAATAAAATGAGAAGTAGGTTAAGAAAGAAATATGTATCATATTAGGGTTGTAGAGTGATGAGTGCCATTGAAATTGTGAATCAGCCATGAAAATACTGGCCAGTCGTTTTAAGCATGACATGGGACTCATCAGAAGTACGCTTCGACGACCCTATAAGCAGGACTCGAACCCAGGACTTTTGATCACAAGCTGCGAATGTTTGGTCATTTGCATGAGAACTGACTGGAGATACAAATGCACGTATTTAAATGCCGACTCAGTGGTCTAGAGACTGAAGGTTTTCGCACGAGACCGAAATTCCCTGGTTCTATCCCCGCGTCCGAAGTCGTGGATGAGCTTTACTGATGAGCCCCAAACTAGGACGAAACGGTCGTCCATTACTTTTGCCCTGCGACCTGCCTAGCATGGTAGGACCTACAGGAACATATGTACTAGCCAATATAGCTCGGTTGGGTCATTAGGATAGTCATGGCCGACCATCACGTCAAGGTAGCAGCTACCGTCTGGGAAGTACTGTGAGCACAATAACATGTACTGGTTTCGGAAGTTTGAAGGTTAAACTTTTTGAAGGACAAAATTAATCATTAGAAATGATCCAATGATCAATGAATGGAAACTCATCAGCATATATAAGTGATGAGATTTTACCGATATTTCATTAGTTTTCTAGTTACTTTTTAGTCGACTTTCAAACAACAAAATTGTTAGGATATTCATCCAATATCCTAAGAGAATTATTGGTCAAACCCTATTATTCGATTTCTATAGGTCAAAATTATGGTCATTTCAACTGTCAAAGTCAAATACTTCAGTGTTGTTTCTTATTGGTTGTCCCGATTGTCAGTGTCACTTCAAATGTTACTTCCTATTGGTTGTCTTAACTATCAATGCCACAGAATTCTATGCTGTTTCCTATTCGACCAAAATGTATAAATACGCATTATCCGTAACGTTTATTGACCACGACTAGGACCAGGGCTCGGTCCCGAATCCCTAGTCCGGGATCCTGATTCTCTTCTGGATTCGGACCTCGTGCTTTCTGGATGCTTGTAGAATACAGGTTCTACTTCACATCATATCTTCTTATTTTAACTAAATATGGGGGCTGTAATAATCGGAATTGAGTGACATGTCGTGTTACCGGATCCTCGCTCTCATTTCCGACTAGGTAAACTCGTAATAGGTCAAGTATATCAAGTTGACGTGTTTACGTGCAGGCGTAACAAAAAGGCACTAATGTAATAGCAGAAGTCACAACAAAATATATATGGTCACTAATACTTAGCGAAATTAAGTCAGTTAGTTAAAACTTAGAACTTCGTACGTACGTACGTACGTACGAAATTCAAGTTACTATATCACATTAACACATAGAAATCGAATTGTCACATCAAATCCCATACAAGTAGAGGTAATAGAAGTATTAAAAGTAATCGGAGAGATTAGGGTTCGAAGATATTATTCGAAAAGTAAAATCTAGTGAACTAAACTTCAGACGAAAAAGATAAAGCTGATGAGGAACTCCGAAGGAGAGGATTTGAGAGAACACAAAGAATGGATGCTCTCACTCCATGTCATTCAGGATCTCTAACCATCGATTACAATCATTTCGCTGACCTCAACCGCGGGGTAGTCAGTCTACATCAACCAACATGGCTCAGTCCACTTTTCAATGACTTCATGGATTTGTTTGTGCCATGTTTTGGGTTTGGCCACGCCCCACAGCGAATTTCGCTTACTTTCTATTTTATTTTTAAAAAAAAATTTAAATCATGCATGCCATACTCACTTGTAATTTATCGATTTATTAAATCGAATACTAAAACTATTGTAAATTTTTTCCGATAATTCATGTTCTGTAATCTCTTGACATGTAGTAGTAGTAGTAGTATTAGTAGTAGTAACACCGGTTGAATTAAACGACAAACAATCGAATAAAGTCATACCATGACTATGACTATGATGAAATAAAGATGCTGTATAGGTGAGTGGATTTCTACAAGAAGACAATGTATCTCTTCGCGAAACAATATTCGGATTCACATCCACACCATCTGGCAATAATGGTACAGCAGCATAATGAATATATTCCGATTTGGTTAAATGAAATTGTGTCATTGATTTGGATGTTTTATGAGGTACATTGATTTCGTTTTGTTCTTCTTCTTCAGAAGTAGAAGAATTCATCATCAGTGTTTTTTTTCTTGGTATCTTCTCCTGGTCAGCATGTGACACTATTGGTGTGGAATTAGTTTCATCATAGGGGAATTTATTATTCACATCTAATGACACATTATGATTATGATCACTTGACATTGATAATGATGTGGATTTGTATTTTCGATGTCTGAATAACCAGTCTGTAAATGAGAGATGAAATCTTCTAGTGGATTTTTTGTAATTTTCTTTCAATGAAGAATCTGTTGCTAAAATAATTACGAAACATTTGTAATGAATTTGTGAATTTGTATAGAGAAAAGAATAGAATTCAGTAAATAGGAAAGCAGGATAGAAGAAAAAAATACTACTGTGCCTAGGCGCACAAACTGAAGAAACACGCGATTTTCCAAAATGGAACATTTTGCTGAGTTCTGAAAACGGTGACGGAGCAACGTAAGAATATATAGACTAATGATACGTTCAGATGTCATTTATTGCATCAAGACTGACTGAAGCCAATGTGCAGCAATGGTTTGGGATGTGTGATTTCCCTAATCCCCTCTGTGAAACTTCCCTACCCACTAAGTAGGTTTAAGCGAGCGATATATGCTTTTTCTCAGTTTCAATTTTGTAAGTAACATTCTAGATGGAAGTAGGTAATCAGTAGGACCATGGTCATCCCGACCGTAGCTGATACCTTGACGTGGTGGTCGGGCTTGACAGTCGTCATGACCCCACCGAACTATACTGGCTGGAACATATATTCCTGAAGGTTCTACCATACCAGGCAGGTCGATTGGAGAACGATGAGATTAAAATCAGCTACTCAAGGTCTGAGGGTAAAGTCGTACTGCTGACTGACTGCAGAGGGGTGTGACAGCAGTAAGGTGTTTCCATCGGACAACCACCATCTGCAGCGATGCTGACTTCTCACAAGGAAGGAAGGTGTTAAAAAAGGTCGACCCTAAAAATTTCACACCTCACGAGCTATGTTTTGTGGGGTAGGAGTAAGATGGAAGAAAGTTAGGGGCGGCCAAACCAAAACATGGCACAAATGCATGAAGTCACTGACAAGTAGACTGAGTCATGTTGGTAGATGTCGGCTACCTGGTTGGGGTCCGCGAGACGATAGTCACCGATGGTTAGAGACCTTGAACGACATGGCTCCAAATCATTTACTGTAGCGCAGGTGCATCCACTCCTTGTGTTTACTCAAATCCTAAACTTCTAGATCGTTCAATATCTCTACCTTTGTCTTTCTAAACTTATCTCACTGAGTTCAACTTCTCGAATCATATCTTCGCTCCCTAGTCTTCTCCATTGCTGCTAATAATTCTACTGTCGCTATCACTTTTGCATTTCAAACTGACAGTAACGTCTCTGTGTTGATGGGTTATGATAACCTGAACTGATTTGCTTATGTACGAAGTTCTGTGTTATATCTGTCTGTATGTCTGTCAGGACCACGGTCATAAACATATGTTATTTACAGCGACTTTAACTCAACAGCATATGTTAGTCAAAATTAACACCGCTAGATGACATCAGTTCACTACTGTTCTACAAGTTAGGTGTTCGCGAATGAACACTGCTACTG